GGTGATCTATGAATGTACTTCTTGCAGTTCTAAATCATGATCTCATAGTTTGTTTGACAACACTGCTCATCTAATAAAGATCAGAAAATTCAGTCTATGCATAAAGGATGTGATATTTATTAAAAACACAACACGTCAGGTTTGCACTTACAAAGATGGCAAGCAGAATCAGATTCCATGGAAACTGTCTCCTGTAGGGGTAAAAAGATTGGAATTCCAATATTTGTGGTGATTTTACTACATTTTATGTGTGTTGCATGTCAATTTAAAAATGTTTGACTTACCTTGGTGCAGAGCAGCAAGACAGGGTCAGATAAGTGACAAAGAATACAGCACTGGAAGAGAAATATTGTTGAATATTCAGGTAGAAGTGACATCAACCAAAAAAAAAAAACGATGTTTCTGATTATACTTACTAAGAGGCCCAGTACCACCCAGGGTTGCTCTGAATGTAGTCCTTCACAGGGTCACTAAAAGACAAGGGCTCAGCTAAAGACACCATCCTTTAAATCATTTGCATATAATTTGTTTAACATAGAAGGAAATTGAAACGGATTTGTCTCACTCACCAGAATGTGAAAAGAGCCACAATAGCAAGAGTGACCAAAAGCTGGATCATCAAGATGGCGTAAACCTGAAAGAAAGAAAGTGAAAGTAAAATATATATATACTATATGTTCTTTTATGTGTGAGACCTTTAAAGTTTAACAATGCTCCCTAGAGGTAAATAATTAACGATACACATCATTAACAACCATAGCTGTGTTGATAAAGCTATTTGATACCTTGCGGATGAAGACCCTCCTGATGTTGCGATCATCCCAGGTGAACTCTGTGAGCATCTCAACATCATTGTAACAAGGAGCACTGACGCCTAAAGGGCACATTCAATTAAGACTTTCAATTAAGATGTGCTTCTTTTTTTTTTTTCTAATCAGCAAGTTGTGATGTAATGTCATCACCACCACACCATCCCCATACATAATCAAAAACATGTGTTAAGAATAACAGACTAGCATTATGATTAAATATGGAAGAATAAAGTGCAGTCATACCCGCGGTGGCCTCTTCATAGCTGGGAGGAGCTGGTGACACTAAGGCCTGTCCACTGGTGGAGCCGTTGGCACTCTTGTTTGCAAGTGACAGCTTGGAATAAATTAGACAGAAGATGAACAGCTTGTTATCTTTTACTTCATAGTGAGATTTTTTGTTTGAGGTGAAAGCAAATCGGTTTGTTTTTAAACCCTAAGGTCAACTTTAAATTTCCAGATCTGAGTGCAAAATATTTCAAATCCTATTGGAGTTGCATATGCTTTAGGTATTGTCTGTAAATTAATCATATAACAACTTTTATATACCAAATACATGCATTCCCTGAAAGTAAGATGTTGTAAACATATATGGTGTTATGTGAAAGTCACACTTTTCCAGATGATTATAGTTAGGGGGTTGTTTCTATCATTTTATTGTTTTGTTTTTTTAATTTTCTATAAGGCACTTTGTACATTTCTGTTTGTATGAAGTACTATAGAAATAAAGTCTGACTAAGTGATTGAAGTAAACCCTAATACAAGAGCTTCACCATCTTCAAAATTAAAAGCATGAAGATAAATGGTCACGACATGTGATTCCTGCAAAGACACACTGCTGTATGTATTGTAGGCTACTGTACAAGAAGGAACTGTGCAAATGTTCAAGATTTTGGAGTTATGGCATTGGAATTATAATCATTTATCTGTATATTTCTACTGTCGCAGTGCTTTTCAGTGAAGATAATGCAATCATATTATACTGCTTTAACTCTCTGGTTTGTCAGTGGATATTCCAGCTGCTTTAAATATACCCTGAAAGTGACAGCTTAAAAAAAAGTTCACAACACACACTTAACAATCTTAACGCTTTCACTTCACCTGGCAGTGCTTTAACTTCAGCTGAAACTTATAGCAGCGATAACCTCATCCTCAGCTAAAATATTCAACAACTGGAACCTAATATAAACATCAGCTGCTTCATTTTCAAAGTTATTTCCTGCACAAGCATTTTTTTAAAAACTAAATTGCAGTGTTTACAGCCAATTACACTGTAGGATTTTAATTGTGAGGCTCAAGCCTGACACAGATCAAGTTAACAGGATACAGTTAGCTCTAGTTTGTGCCAGTCACAGAGGATCCGTTTCTCTAAAATATAATAAATATAATATTTTCATATATTTCTATACTTTCATCTTCAAAGCTCTGAAAATTAGTGAGAGGTACATATTGGTTACACTACAGCATGTCATAGATCCACACAGGGATGTATCAGGTTTAAGCAGAGGGAGAAATGGGTTGTCATGGTGACGCAAGTCGTAAAACAAGCTGTGACGCATCAGCTCAGGTAACGTTTTTCTGCTTCTAAAGCACACAAGGTATATCACATAGGCCTACCAGAGCAAACCCAACGGGGTTTAAATGCCATTAATACGCTTCGAAATGTACGAAATTGTACGAGATTCTAGAAATGCTTCACTGCGAAACTACAGGCATTCAAATCCGCTGCACAAGTGCGCGTCGCAATTCATAAAAACGACTAAACGTGGCGGCAAATGTTTCCGTTAAGCATTTGACATCAGTGAGGGATTAGGTCGGCTTTTATGTAATAGTGTAGGCCACATGCATACAGTCTAAACACTGCATTTTAGTAGTCTTCATAAACAGTGTATGGGGATAATTGGCCTAACTTCACAGCAGCTCATACCTTGCCCTGTGTCATGATGCCTGTGTGTGTTGTCCGGCAAGTGGGTCGTCTGGGTCTGGATGTCGGTCAGTCAGCTGGGTTCTGGCGTCTCCTTCCTTTCTTGTGGTCTGGCTGAGGACTGACAGCTGTGAGGCAGCTCCTCGGATTGATGCTGCTCTTCTCGCCTGCTCTGACTGAACACCCTCTGACGATGCTGTGATGTAGTCCCAAAACAACGCAGTTCACTTCTCTCTCCTCCTCCCCCCCTCCCTCACCCACGGAGGGATGTTCTAGCAGCATCCAGGTGAAGCTGCGCCATAGAGAAAAGCTGGGACTGTACCACAGCACAGGGGGGGAAATGGGGAGCACGGATGTCTGCATGATGCGTTATGAGGACAGAAGTCCAGAGAAATCTGGAAATTTGGTCTGCAGCAAAGCGAGGAGAGGGGGGGAGGCTGCAGGGGCTAAAATATTGTGAAATTTCCAGATTTTCAGCAGGGGCCAAAGCTAGTTAAGATGTTTTCTAGTAATTTAAATAGTGCATTTGTAAAATTAATTTCCATTAATATCCGTACTCTATTGGGAAAAAACAATAGGAACAGGACTTGGATTAAATCAAACAGTCATCGCATTTAATTTAAGCAGATTTCAGATTATCTGGAACGTCTGATACTACAAAATAAACATCCATATACCACAATATGCAAACCTAGTAATATGAAACAAATACATTTTCATTGTGGACAATGTGTGATCTTTTATTTAAAAGTGTAAAGAACAGAGACATGTTAAGAAAATATAGACACAGTATCTCGTAGATGATGCAGAAAAAGCAAAGTAAAGCTGACCTACTGTAGATTGCCCTTTTCAATAAAAACAACACAAATGCTAAAAACGTACATTGCCTTCATAAAAGAATCAAAGTAGCCTTTTGTGGAAGAAGCATCTAAAGAACTGACATTCAGTTACTGGTCTCCATGCCACGACCTCACTTCTTTGGATATTCATTCATTCAAATGTAAACTAAAGTCCTGCTGAACTGCATTATTTATTTATTTTTACATTTGATGAAGCTTAACATTACTGATCCTCATGGGAATTCTGAAACTAATTGCGTCCTGTCAAAATAACATGCCTCCCTACAGGCAGACACAATGAAGCAATAACATGTTATCTGGAATAATTATTGGAATGATACAGGACATTTGGAGACAGCTGACCCAGTTTCCAGCAATTTACTTGACAAATGAGAGTAGATGTGGCCATGGCAGCACAGACAGGACTGTGACAAGTCTTTCACCAACCAACAAAGTAACAAGGCAAACATAAAAAGACAAATTCAGGTTGATTTTAATCTCCCAAAACACCCTGCTGATTTTCTTCACTGATGCATTTGGCAAAACGTAGACTTCCTCAGTAAAACACAAGGTTTCGATGTCCAGTCAGACAAAACAGATAATATAATTTAAACCAGACAAGCATAAATGAATATGCGGCCCATCTCCTTAGTACATTTCCCCCTCTCCTCTGCTTCCCTCCAGTCTCAGGTCTGTGTCGTTTCTGCCCAGGGTGAAAAGACTCACAACAGCCATCAGAGCTGCCAGCATCATGACAGCGCAGCCTCCAAACATGTGTCTGGTGCCGCCGCCGCCCTCCCCTCCGCCTGTTCCCGATACCTCCCCATGGAGCGCCAGCAGCCCGAGGCAGGCCAGCAGGTGCAGAGGCAAACGGAACCAGGCCAGCACACCAGCCCGCTTTTCCTCTGGGATCACCCTGCCCTGCAGAAAGCTCACTGCGGGGAAGTAGAGACCACAGGCCAACTCTAGCAGCAGGAACGCCAGGAAGGACTCATGAGGTCTAGGCTGTCCTGGGGCAGTGGAAAAGGTTAGCATGAAAAAAGAGAAGAAGGCCATCAGCACGGCAAGGCAGAGGACGTGGCCGGGCTGTAGACGGTAGCGAGTGGAGGTGGCCAGGCGGTACAGCAAGGAGCCGACCATACTGGCAGCCATTAGGCAGGAGAATATTATTCCTAACGGAGGCCCATGAGGGTCGAGTACTGGGGTCCACAGGAAAACAAAAATGTAAAGGACACTTTCAAACAGAGCCTGAACTCCGCCCAATAGCATGACTCTCTTGTCTGACAGCAGGCAACGCAACCCCTCATGGCAACTGCGTGAGAACCTAACTTTCGCAGACAAATGGGCCACACCTCCATTTGGAGTACCAAGGAGCGGTGTCTGTTTGTCACCCTCTGGACCTCCTTCAGCTTCTTCCTTGCCCCAGTCTGTTAGCACCACCCAGCCACAGCAGCCCAGGCAGGGGACAGCCAGGAGAAAAGGAGCCACTGGTCCCAGGTGAAGCCACTCAGCCAGCAAGTTAGCTATCAACCCTGCTCCCACAGCGAGGCCATGGTTCCAGTTAGCAGCTTTGGTGAAGGTGCTGGGGATCCACTCCTTGGGAAAATCGTGGACGTCTACATGTCGGTGCACGTACCAGGCTTCAAACGCTGTGGCGAGCAGTGAGGTGGACAGACCCCCCAGGATGCGTCCCACAATCAAAACAAAGTAGTCTCTGGAAAGCTTGGTGAGACAACAAGCAGAATAGGACAGGCAGAAGAGAAGACACGTCTGTCTGCGGCCCAATGCTTGCAGGAGCCAGCCTGAAAAAGGAGCAAACAGAACACAGGCGGCCAGGCCACACACGTATAAGATGGCTATTTGGGATTCCAGGAAGCTGTAGTGTCTGTAAAGTTTATAGAGGTAAGGACCCTGGAGCCAGTCTGCCCACAAAGCTAATAAGTATGCCCGGAGGAATATACTCTGGAAGCGACGGAAAGCAGGGTTGGCTACGGCTGTAGGAGTGGCCTGCGGCGGGGTGAGACGGCGTGCTGTGAGCTCCAGGCCAACACACAGGGCAAGCAGGAAAATTATGGCAAGATAGGCTGTCACCAACATGATGTCAAAAACTACACCCGCTTGAGGTCAAAGCTGAAGTCTTGGGGTGTTTCCAACTCTTTTCTTTCTGTTTCTTTGCACCTGTGGAGACAGAAAATTGACAAGGGGCTGATATACAGACACAGGAGCGTTTACGTAACCACAGAATAACATTCAGGAGTTAGTAGTTTAACGAGTTAACTGCTAATAATTTAACTACTCGCTATACGTGATTACTCAGCAACCATCAGCTAATTATGACAGCACGGCAACAGTTTGACCTGCGATAATGACTGAAACATTGATTAACGACATTTCAGTTTGCTCAAACAAATAATTAATTCTCAGCCCACAGGTACATGCTATTGTTATTTAGCTAACGCTAGCCTATAAGCTAACCGGACACCGAGATAGAACCCCTTCTAACTTGCGCTAATTTCCTCCCTCTTATTTTTAAACACTGTATAATACTATATGATATATCTTACCGTAACGTTTGAAAGCGGTCCCATATTAATAATACGACGCGGAAAGTGATGGCATGAAACAACTAAGTGATGATGGAAGACATAGCAAGTGTGCTCTAGCAAACACACCATTCGCTTCCGGGATCCGGCTTCTGTCATTTTACCACAAGATGGCGCCCTTGCTGTATTTTGTGATGTTTTTTAACAGGGAGGAAAAAAGTTTGACGCTGTCAGACAACTCGTGTTGCAACTTCACAGACCGGTTACAAGGTTGGTATTTATTTATTTGTCAGTTATTCGCTGTATTAACTATGTGTTTTTAAAATTGCCCAATGAAACATGTACTTTGTCATTTTATTACACATGATGCAAGGGACTGTGTGGATGTCTGTGCAGATTCTCAGTCACTGTCATCCAAGAAGTTTCAGTTAAAAAGCAACTGGGTTTCTCTTTTCAGTTCTTACAGCTTATTGAAGGCCTCTTTTTTTCTTAAAGAAGCAAAAAGGAAAGGCAATTTGCTTTATACTTAAGCTCTTGGGAAATTAGTGGATGCTAACTCTGTTAGCCATGAAGGAGCTAATGTGTACTGCATACATTGTGTAATGACAGTGTCTATTGTCTTTACAGCATATAAAATATAAACACAAAAAAATGACACAGAGGCAGAGTAATACATAATTTGAACTTTATATCATTGTATAATTTCTATTTAGGAAGAAAAATTTACAAAATGTACAAGATGTGCTCAATCAGCCATAATCAAACAAGCTAACAGTGAGAGGACCAATCAAATGAGATCTCTCACCCAAAAATATCTCTTGTGTTTGTATGACAAACATTGGGGGCAGAGGAAGGGTGCATGTGGAGTGAGTGCTGGTGATTTCAGGGATTATGCTGGTCGGTTACATCATCTATTAGCAGGAAGTGTGTCTAAGCCGTCTGAGAATCCCTACTACACATTCTCCTGTGCAAAGCCCCCTTGGCCAGACCCCCCCACTTAATACAAGAAGGTCAATACATTCGTCTTTACACCAAACTCATATGTCCAATCCATCATATCAGTTCTGTAATTGATACTTAGACATTTGAGTAACATAATATTTACAGCAATAACAAACAGAAAAAAAAATAAAGGAACTACAAAACCCAATGTGCATGGAGCTCTCTCTCCATCAATCCAGGTGAAATACGACACAGTGACACAGACATGATGTTTTTGTGAAATAATATAAAATGCCATTGACTTATGAAGTTGGCATGTTTAAACCCAATGAGCCAAATGTTTCCTGGAAGATTAGTCAGAAATTGGCAAGAGACTGAATGCATCCTATTGTGTAAAAGTGACACATTAAAATAGTGGTCTCATTCCAGTACTGATGCAGATGGTATGTTTGTGAAATAGTGATACACGATTGCCTTATTATTTCAGGTTTCACTATGCATTATATACATGTTCCCTTTTCTTTTTAACACCAACTGACACATAGTCATTCATTACCAATGGTCCCTAAGAAATAACTGTTTCAAACTACAATATCCATCTTTCAGCTGCTGCTAAGTGATGGTCTGTTGATACTGTACAACTACTGGAATAAACAGAAGTGAACTGGCTTTTATTCTTAAGTACACTGGATATAATGACAAAGTGCACAAATGATTTGTCCAAAACGGTAATAGTAACTCTACACAATGATTTTTTTTTTTTTAATTCTTTTTTTTTTTTTTTTTACAGGAACAATGTTACTTAAGAGGTGTTTAGGTTTATGTGTGTACATGAGTTTGTATGTGTATGTATGTTTTTTTTCTGAAAACATTGCATGAAGATCAATAGTGAGTCAAAAATATGGTCACTGCCGTCATTTATCCTTTTCAGAAACACTCTTTAGATTGCACAATTCCGTGTTCCTCAATGTTGAAGGAAGTCCTGCCCATGGAAGATAATATCTGTGTGTGTGTTTTGTGTATTTCTGTGTAAAACAGTCTGTGTGCTCTGTGAGCGAGCGGGCTGCTCAAGGGTCAATGCGAAAGGCCAACAGTTTGTCGGAGTGCAGATTGTTGAGGGTGCGGAGGTCTGGCAGGCGCAGGAGGAGTTTAGGGAAGAGGGCAGTGTCATCTGGGCGGCGGCGAGTGATCAGCGATCGCAGGGCGCGGATCAGACCCTCCTGTAGCTGCTCCACAGCCCGCATATCCGAGATGCCAAAACGGTCTGAGGAGCAAAAAGGATGTCAGTGTGAGTAGTTGACACAGTTAGTGCTTCATGGGCTCATTAACAAATTATCGTAGCTCTGCAGCATTTGTAATTGTCCCTCTCTCACCTGCAGAGACCAGCACCACAGCCATGAAAAGGGCCATTTCATCAGGCTCTAGCCCCAGGGAGCCCAGCTTCTCACTGAATTCAAACATTGCGTCCAGCAGAGAGCCCATGCCTAAGGCACGCAGGGTGGACAGGGGGTAAGTTTGGCCATTCAGGAAGGTCACCGTACGGTCTTCCGCATTGAACAAGCTGCAGAACCTCACCATCAGGACCTAAATAAACAAGAAATGGCAAAAAAAAACAAAAACAAAACTTAAGCCAATAATTCATTTGGACACATGAAGAAAAATAACACAAATAATTACAAAAGTGTGTCATTACCTGGAAGGTGCCTGATTTTAGCAGCATGACCTGATCCTGCTGGCTCAGCTCTTGAAATCCTGGGATACCCTTGGCAAACTCTACCACTTCCTTGACAGCAGGGGTAAAACACTGAGAGAAGGACTCCCATATCTCCTGACTTGAGCGCTCTGCCCCTGATACAGGGCACGCATTGAGAGGACAGGCCTTTGAGAAAGACAAAAAACAATAATCATAAAATATTGGTCAAATAAGGTATCACACAGGAATCTTGATTTAACTTAGTAAGCTTCCTTCACTTACCAGCACTTTAGCTCCTGGAGGTAGTTTCCATGGGCAGGAAGGCTGACTGTGGGCACTTCCTGCATTGCGAAAGCTGTTATGATTGGCAGAGATGCCCCTTTGAGGTGTTGCAGCATTGGACTGGCTATGATTCTGATTTGTTGACACTAAGTAGGAATACCGATTGTTGTCCACATTGTGAAATGAAGGTTGGTTTTCATTAGAGGCAACTGGGCAAAGACTGGCAGGGGCAACAGGGCAAGACTGATAACTCTGGGTTGGGGTGGGGTGAGATGAGACCGGAGGAAAACCACCATCGTGAGAAAAGTGAGATGTGTTGTTGGTGGTGGAGATGTTGGCCCTCTTGGATGGTCTCTCCTGGGTGCTGCTGTTGCTGGTGAAGATGTCACGATAGGCTCTGGAAATGGCCCCGATGGCCTCTTTTGAGTTGCCTTCGTCTGTACTGGTGGGATTCTCCCTCACTGGTGATGGGTCCATCTCGATGGCAGCCGACTCATTTAGGCTGTTCATGTAGCTCTGCATCTCATCCAGAAGTCGCTGCTTCTCTCTCTTAGGGATACGGCCAAAACGCACGGCTGGGGAAGACACAAGCAGTTGAGCATCGATGAGCTTCCAATCTTTGTTACAGCATTGACATTTACTCTGGATATGTTATGTGTTGTTGTTTTTTTCTCCTTTTAAAATAAATGTTACACCCAGTTTTTTTGGGTTCTTTTTGTTTTTGTTTGGACAGAGTGCTGTCAGATATGGTAAGACTAAAAACATACAAGATGCAAATCATATAGATAGAAGCACTCTAATGATAACTAAGACAGATTAAGTTGATGTATATATAGATCAAGATGCAGGTTTATTATACCTATGCAGTGGTGCTATTCAGGAAACACAGGACCTTAATTTTCATTAACAATGCACGGTCAGACTGTAACCCATTTAACCTCCTTATACACGGACACGTATCAAAAGCACTAGAAAACGGTGCTGAGTGATTTCAAGGAGAATCATAGAAGTTAAGAGATGAAAACTTCCCTCTCCTCACCCGCATCCCCATCCCCCTCCTCGCAGTAACCATCAGCTGGAGAGACTATTTATAGACCCCCTGCTGCCATCTGCCTCATCCTCTCCTCTATCCACCCCTGTCTCCTTCCTCTACCGCTCCCTCCCTCCTTTTGTAAGTAGGGCAGTGGGGCAACGTGAGCGTGATGTCACTGGTACTGGGATAGTGAGAGGGAGAAGGATAAGATAGGTGGGCTCGAGGCGCATAAATGAGTTGAAGTGACAGTAGTGAGAACATGAAAAGAACTGATGTGAGAGACTGCGATACATGCAGAGTGAAAGTGCTTGTGTAGTCGTGTTGCTTCTGTTGTGGGGGACATAAATGTGTTAATACAGCCACATTGTGGGAACCGATCTCCCTTTTGATGACAAAATTCTCATAATGTAAAAAAAATAATAATTTATAAGGTGAAGATTTCATTTAAGATTAGGAAAAATGGTTGGATTAGGCAAATGGTGTTTATGATTACAGCCTAATTTATGAAAGTCAATGTACCGTCCTCTGAAGTGATGCTTGAGGTAGAGTTAGATAAGGTAGGGAGGTTGAACTGGCACATCTTCAAAGACTTTGCAAGTATAAAACACCTTATCTGTTGTGTAGTGTAGCAGACATTGTATGCAGTAATAATGTTTTTAAAACTTGAGAAATATGCATAAAAACATAATGCCAATGAACGGTTCAAGTGAGGTGATTTACTTGGCCCTGTAATATGCACAGTAGGTATTCATGTGTTTACAGTAATCTTTTCATTGCCTGCAGGGTCCCTTGATGAGGATTCGGCCAATAATGCGGCATGAGATTAATCCTTTTCATCACGGTTAAAAAGAAGCAAATGCAGACTAATGAGCTGTTGCTCTAAAATGATGCTCTGGTTAAAGAAAGCAAAGTGTGCCACCATGCCAAGTGACTTAAATATTTGCCTGTATTGCAGAGCCAAAGTCACACAGCTGCCTGGTGTGAAATCAGGGTGTACTATTTATTGCGGGCTGCAGGCAGTTGCATGCGGTTTTCCTGTTTTCGTAATGGTTGAAACAAAGCAAAAAGGGGTTTTTAGGTTGTGGTCCTTAACGCCTCAGAAATCTCCTTCTAAGAGGGTCAACCTGACTGTTCTCTTACTGAGCTGCATTTTGGAACCCTATTTTCTCTGTGCACTAGAAGTGTCAAGCACATGCCGAAATAACACTAACCTCTTTACTAGATTAGGCAATGCAGAGTACTGGAGGGTGGAGATAAGCAGAAACCATACTGAGAGGAAGAGAGGAGGCAAACTACACCAAGTAGGTCATGATGTATGAGTACACTATAGGCCCATTTCTGTATTGTTTTTCTAGGTCAGCCCAACTGTTTTCTTAATCCGTGATGATGGGTGATCAATCAATGTTCAGCTATCACAGCTAAAACTAAGTGATAGGAGCATCATGCCTGGTAAATTCTGTCACAGCAATGTTTTCTGCATCCCTTGCTTAATTGTTGCCTCGTCCCTTATTAATTGCACTAAGATGTTCTATGGGCGTACACAAGGTAATCAAGTTGACCCTGTTCCAATTTCCTAAAATAATTCCTGTGTTTGCTGCAGTTTTCCAGATGATAGATAGCTTCGGGGACTTCAAGGCTCCTCTTCTCATAAATCACTGTCTGAGGGGGAGATGTAAGAGAGCTGAGGGAACATGGTGGGTACATGGAGGGGGAGGGGCTGTACTGAGCAAGAGCATAGAGGTAACTGTATTGTGGGAGGATGCTGCAAAGGGCAGCAGAAAGACACTCGGAAACTTAAGAGAGTGATCCGAAGCCAGATGGTTATCATTGGCAGTGCGGTGACAAAGTAGAAGGGCAAAGCAGGTGCAGGTCTTGCAATAGACTGAGTGACTGAGCTACTGGCATGATGACCTGAAAAGACTTCCCACATCACATTTTTCAAGCAGACCTACATATCAGTACCGTGCCGCTCTCAGGCTGCCCATTTCCCTGCTGCTTTGGCTAATCAGAGCACTGTGGCATTCTGGCAGAGCTGCACCAGGGTCTCTTTCATTAAAAATATGTCAGGATGTCTCACCATCTCTTGACATGCCAACAGAGAGGCATTTCTTGAAACGGCAGTGCTGGCACCGGTTGCGGTTCATGCGCATGATCAGACAGTTCTCATTCTTCACACACATCTTGTAGTTGATGTTCTGCTGGATGCTGCGGCGGAAAAAGCCCTGGCACAAACAAACAAACAACACATATATATGTCATAAGAAACTGTTGCACCAAAATCAACACATTGCTGAGAAATTAAACACATTTCTCGCTGATCACTGGCTTACCTTGCAACCCTCACATGCATGTACTCCATAGTGGAAACCAGATGCGATGTCCCCACAGACTTTGCAAAGCAGGACCATTCCACCTGTCTCTGAGGAAGGAAAAAATGAGAAGTTAGATAAGCTACAAAAAAACTTAGCAGGAGAAGTAAATATTTATGCACATCAACAATGAGGAAACACTTACTGGTGAAGGTCCCTGTGAATCCACATGGCCTCTTTCCCGCGATGGGGTGCGCATAGGAATGCTGCGGAGTAGCTGCTGCTGTGGGCCCACTGTAGACCTCTGGGAACTGGAACACCAGTTTGGAGGAAGGAGTGTTGCATCCGGCTGCTCGCTGTTTTAGCGCCCCGATCTCTGTGAAGGTAACCTCCTCTGGAGATGATGGCTGGGAGTGTGAAGAGGGCGACTGTGTCTGGTACCCGCTGGAGGGGCTGCCAGGGCTCGGACTGGAACTGCCAGAGGAGCCCGCATACAGGATGACTCCTCCACCTCCTGCTGGGAAGGAATGGAGGACAATGAGAACTCTGAACTGAGAACCTTCAGGCAATTTGACTTGAGGCCCCAAAATCTAGCACACAGCGTCATATCTTATCTTCACCTGAAATGACTTATTATATGCTATTCACACACCCTAATGTAAGCTGGTTGCATTAAATTCGTGCATCACAAATTTAAGTTGGTCATCCACATTTCCTTGGAAACCGCTTAGCTACTCTCCAGCGTTGGACGTGATGTGATGTAATGTTGCACAACCTCTGGGCAGCAGAGAGCAGCTCTGAGAATTTGCAGCGTCGTTGCCTCATCCTGACTGAGTGTAACAGGCGTAATGGTGCGCTCAAGCGGATAAAGTGGGCGCTAAAAATACTGCTGGTAGCACAGCAACAAAGCAGGCAGGCTTCCCATAGAAGCACCAACGGAGCGCTGCTTTTTTTTTTTTCCTGCATAATTCCGGCGTCATGCTAATGCAGTATTCAGGCGCTTAATATGTGGAATGCGTAAACTGCGGTTATTGCTCAAGTTTTGCTTCCCTTGCATTCTCTCTCTCTCTCTCTCTCTCTCTCTCTCTCTCTCTCTCTCTCTCTCTCTCTCTCTCTCACTTCTAGTCAGGCGTTGTGGATGAGCTGAGACACGACCTCACGTGTCTGCGGGGTCTGCTGCCTCCTCCGCTCCAATAATAGCCTCGCTCCCTTGGCACCGTGCCCAGCGCCAGCTAACAGCACGACACCTGACCGCCGCCTCACATGCATGGACTCCTGACACGGTTACTGGCCGAACCAAATCCGCAGTCTCGTGTTGAAATATACAACAATCTGAAGTCAGATCTTTGTTTATAAACATTCACTGACTGGGAAGCTCCCCGAGCGTGAGGTGGCATCGAGTCTGCAGCCCCGCTCATGCTCATGCGCCACCAACAGTTAAAGAATGTGAGTCACGTTTTTGCAGAAGTAAAGCCTCAACTGCATGGACTGAACTGGTGTAATAAGAGCTCAGTGGAGTCCAGCAGTGAGACGTTTAGAATGACAAATTATATGCAAAGTTCAATCCTCTAAAACAATCTAAACCAATGTGTCAGGTTTAAAACTTGAGTTATGATTACTTGCACGTGCAATCTCAGACATCCAAAATGAATGCCATGACATAGTGGTTCAACCAGCTCAGCCTAGTTTGTGTAAATCGTGCCTAAGTGCAGGAGACCTATCCCAGTGCTGCTGTGTCGCCCTTTGCTGTATTTGTTTAGCTCAAATGTTTTGATAATCCCTCCACCAGCACGTGTTGGTGGATTTGTTGACTCATGCCAGAGCCATAGACAGATCCAGCAGACGCAGGCCTGCGCCTCACCTCTTCCTGAGCTTACATGCAGACAGTGGATGCCCAACCCCCACTCCACCCAAACACATTGCATGTCCACCTGAAGACTCACATGTAGGCTACAGCAGTGTTTATGAATGACCCTCAGAGCCGCTGCGCTGTAAACACTGTCAATTAATAATCCACTCTGCTTTTGAGTAGCTTTACAGGAAGTCCATTGCAGAAAGTATCCAGGGTGCAAAGTGCTGTTACAGTTTCCAATCGCTCTCCTATGTGATAGGTAGCGTTGCTACCTATTTATTGCTGTTGATGTTATTGGTAGCCTTGAAAACACTGAGAAGTACTTCTGCACACTGTCTGGCTTGCTGCTGAAATATTTGGATTGCAACGTTTGGCTCTTTCTGACCTTCACTGTGGGCAACAACACAACATTTCCATATATACATGGACAAGAGCTGCCTCATCCATCCAGTCGCAGGACGCTAAACTAGTTCACCACCTTGCACTTTCTCAAAACTTTTGCATCCTCAGCCAAAAAAAAAAAACCTTTTTGACACATCTGTCACTCATTCAGAATAGCCTGTGATATCAACTTGGCATCCCACCATCACAACATTTTATAAAAACCCTGACCAGTAAATACAATAGTGTCGCTGCTGCAACATGCAGGTTATCCTTTTTCTCCATATTCTATGGGATTTCCCATGCATGTAAAGAGGATTGCTGTGCATCCAATGTGCACAAGTTACAATTTGGGTCACTGCAGACAGCATTAATTGAGGAGTCAATCAGCTCTCACTGCCCGTCTTAAGTTTAGCCTACCCGTGCAAGCACTAATCTGCCTGGGACTGGAGGCAGGCAGAGAAACGTGAGCAGTGAGGACTGCACTGGCAGTCTCTCCCCTCTCAGTTTCACTCTTGTCCTTTATCTCTCACTTTCACTGGCAGACCTTATAATGTGGGGCATGGAGAGCAGCCACAGTTAAGGTGCACACTGTAGCTGTTTGGGTGTAAAGATCAGAAATATGGCTGTCGCCTTTCTGAGAACATTGTTTATTGTGCTGTAAGAGAAAATTATGTAGAGCTATTTTGTGCTACTGAACATTCCCAATCTGCTGCTTGGGTACTTGCAGTAGACTTCATTACCTCAGGCCTCTCTGTAAGTAGGTCAATATCGCAGGAACTCGATGGAATTGTGTCTATGTGCCTCCAGCATCTCTCCAAACTGGTGCCGCATCACACAGCAGCTCTGGCTCATGCAATTAACGCGAGCTGTATCAGATTATCACAGTGCATAACCAGATTTCATAAACACCGAATATGATTTGTCTTCCAAAGAAGAACGTGCCTTGCAAAAACAAAACAAAAACAAGAAACTTCCGTGTTAGAAACATCCGTTTTAGGATTAATGCGATTTTACCAGTTTCTGATCTGCTATCTGTTTCAGCGTCTCACTTTTTTTTTTTTTGGAGCGCGCAGCTGATGACAGAGAGATGTTAACAGCAGAGTCACGTTCCAGCTGAAACACCACCCTAAGCGGATGTGTGCCCTGAACCGATGATTCAGGGACAGATGTTGCACAGTCAAAATCGAGTCAGCCTCTAACACTGCGAGGTCTGTGACTCAAGTTGAAAAAAACAAAAAAAAACAACAACCTTTCAATACAAGCTGCGGATGCATGAGGCGGGGAAACGTGACTGGGGAGAGAGAGAGAGAGAGAGAGAGCGAGAGAGGGAGGGAGGGAGAGAAAAGTTAATGCATGGAATCGCTGACCCACTGACCAAGCTCTCCCTCACCATCACCGCAGGCGGCATCAACACAGAAGCTTCCGTGAGAGCGGGGAAGCGGCGGGAGGGGAGGCGAGAGGAGGGCCCGGCTATCTCACGCGGTGCACGCGGCTCTGCAAGGGAAGCCACGTGAGGAAGCTTTTTGATGGAGCTTTTCACTGGGAAGACATGAAGCTGCGCTACAGCCAGGAGCCAGAGCTTCTACAGTCCGCCAGGGGCTTATAATTAAAGAGCCAAATTAAATAGAGCAGCATGTTATGCGAAAGGGGTGGTCTGACTGTGCACCAGCAGCAGCAGCAGCAGCAGTACTGCCCCCACTGTCAGCCAGGCGCTGCATCTAGTTCATAACCAGTGGGGAGACAGTCTATGTGTCAGTATGTGACCAGACCCATGGATTTTGGGTGAATCCTTATCATAGTTAAACCTCAATAACACTAAATCCCTTAATTTCTGGTGGATCACACCTCAATAGCCCATGTTTAGGCTACAATTTAAGATTGTCTTTTTTTATATATATAATAATAGAGGACTAGGTAAATTGTAGTTGTTCCTCTCACCTGCCTCCATTCGGAGTCTGAATGATGTCAGTATTCTTAGGTGTGTCCTGCTTGGTCTCCAAAAGAAAGGTGAGGGTACTCTTGAGATACAGAATGTGGATTGTATCACCTATTTTTAAAAAAAAGTCTTTTCAAACTCTTTTTCAAGCTGGCTTATTTCCCAGCATATCTTTTGGCATGAATGGCTTTAAGTTTTAGTGAGAGCAGCTACAGTGCTTAAAGTTACGCAGTGGACAGCAGGGAATGCCAAAGTGGTCAGGCAACTTTGTTTTTCTGCAATTGCTTATTTGATTATGAGTTGCCAACTGAATGCGACCTACAGTAACAGTGCTGCTGTAGGCTGTGGAATATTTGTGTCACAGTGGGCTCCAACACCATGGGGCATCCGACCTTTGACACGAGATCAAGGTTGTGCAAGTTTAATTCAATACTGATTCTGGCAAATATTATATAATGCATTTTCAACCATTTGCACATCAGATGGTTTTTTACTGATTTGTTTTTTCCCCCCTAAAAGTTAGGTCCACATAAACTGTTAAAGGTGACCTTGATCTGCCCCACCTTTGCTTGATGACAGTCGATATCTACATATTATGTATTTCGGCCTATTATTTGTGTCATATGGAGTATTAAATCTGTTTAGGAACTTTTAGCCTTTGGGTGAATCCCCACACCCCACCCCATAACCCACAACCCCTGTGGAGGGAAATAGGGGAATACGGGTATGATGTTTATGAGCTTGGCTTAGATCACTACAATGAACTTAAAAATTAAATTATGTCACATGCATCCCAATAACATTGCTGAAATAGTAAAGCTCAGTGAACCTATAGGTCAGAAACCCAGTATATATCTATATGTATATCATATGAAACACATTTTGTCTATATTTATCTGTCTGTCTTTATGTATTTATTTATTAAATAAGCCATAAAATAATGTAATTAACCCTTTTAAAAAAAACTCCACCCTCTGACACCTCATGCACAAACACCTACTATCCTCTTGACATCAATAAGACACATCCAAAAAAAAGCCAAGTTTGCAGCCTTTATCTTTATCAGCTGGCGAATACTACAGCTGTTATCTGTGACCATTCATTTAACCTTCCTGTTTGTTCCATAAAAAAATAAAAAATTACTGTCCACAACACGGTGAGTGGGTTCAGTGTGTTGACTGAGGCTTGGGTGCGCCCATCACCTGTGCTGGAACGTGACCGTCTCTGTTGTAAATGATTCACCGTCAATTAGGAGAGGAAAGCATGGAAACGTGCACTTCTGGCTGACCTCGACAAAACGCTGCCTAATGCCACTTAACGGATAGAAGTCTCGCAGTTATCGACTCTGATAGTGCATCCACTTCAGAGATGGCCTTGATTGTGGAAACCAACACGCCCTTTTACGCAGAAGTTTGTTTTTTTCCCCCCCTGTGAGATGATACGGTGTTAGTATGCAGTTAAACTCCTGGCGCTGACAGATTATGATTACACTGACAGCCTGTGTACTGTAGCTCCACGTGAGTTTGTTTTCATGGACAGAAACAGGAAGTGGCCAACCTCACTACAACTGTGAGCGCTTCACTGTCAGTGGAGCTGCGGTCCACGCGCAGAGCTTGGACATTTGAATGCACCACGGCAACTTCTTGACAGTTTTGCGTAAAGTTGCGCGACAACATAGTCTTTGACTCACTTTAGAAACAACCTTCATTCACAAAAGACAAACTCCGCGCAGAAGCCATGTAATCGCAAACAGCTGAAAACTAGTTCAAAATCAGAAATCAGCAAAAATCCAAAACTTGCATTAAAAAGTGATATTTCGTGCACTTGTTGGCACATGTGATAAACATGATGCTGTAAACGTATTTTTTAAATTATTCACATATTAGACAAAAATGCTAATGGAATGCTTAACGCAGCCATTCAAACTGTAGAATTATCCACTTTCCAATAATAAACGTTTTATATTGTAATATATTCAAATTAAAGTCAGCTCTATGTTGTCTTAATAATGAATTAAAGTCAGACAGAGTTCAACTAATTTGCTCTATTGATTGCCGGCAACAGCAGCATGAATGAAACGCCCTGTTATCCGGTTCTGACTCTTGTATCATAATCAGCATTGCAACCATAATGAATATAACAAAGTTATTCTTACCACCGCCTGGGCTGTTATCCATTTCTCTTGTTGATGTTGAAGACTTCGAAACAAAGTTGACGACAGACGTCTGTGAATGTCACTAGACTGCAGCAAAAGTCTTTTTGAGACAGACGAGAAAGTGAAGAAATTGTTTTGCGCAAAGCACCTGCTCCATAGAGCGCAAAAATAAAACTGGGAAGCGGTGATGGAAACGTGTCCAAATCGCGTAAAGTTTTGCCCAGTAAACTGTAGAGTAGGTGTGCAGGTGTCACTTCTTCTCTGACAGAGCTGAGTTAGACAGACTTGTCTCCTCAAAGACACCTGGATACCTTCTGCGCTCTGGGTGCTGGACTTCGGCTGGAGCGCGCGTGATGTTGCACGAGCGAAGATTAAACGATTCTCATGAATTCCAAGAAAGTGGAGTCAGCATATCCGCGAACACAGTGTCAGGCATGACATACACACCCACTGATACAAACACCCACATCAATCACGTTTGCAGGTGAGTAGGAAATGTGACCGCCTTTCCGTTCGCCTCAACTTGTGTTGTGTCTGTTTGTGTGAGATTTGGCTCACTCTTTGTATCTCGCGCAGTCCGTTCGCTCCCCTCTCTCTCCTTCACGCTTTTGTGCATTTTCATTGGCGGGGATCTGGAGCTGAGGGGAGTTTGATGCGCTTATTCGACCGTGGTATGTGTTCAGTAAAGCCACGCTACATGTGCGCTCTGCATGTGCCGGGGAGAGCGCTGCCCTACTGATACACATTTTATGCAAAATACGGAGCGTGTGGTGCGGGAGGGATGGAGAGATTGGAGGATGAAGCACATGGACAATAGGCGTGGCTCACCGTGACTACTTGACAAGCAGTGCTGCAAACGGATGGTAAACACTGTGACATGCCAAACATCGTGCGAGTGCCAAGTTTACGGCCCATGTGCCACAGGGAAATGTAGATGCGCAACTGGACCTATGGCACGCCAGTAGCGCGCTGTTGGAGGAGCCGTGTGCCAACAACCATCGGCTTCAATTTAGATTCTTGAAAAAATATTAAAGTGGTGCACGAGTGATTATTTATTTATTTATGTATAATATTTGCACGCACGTATGGGATGCAGTCAAGTGTTAAAATATTTTTTAAAAATTGGTACTAAATTTCAAATTTGTTTCCGCACCAAGAAGTTGCAACATTCTGTCAGCAACAAACTGTTCACTGTCGCTGTGTGAACACGGAGGACTCTCTCCACACAGCGTGAGGAAAGCGCCGCTCCGTGGAAATTTATAGTATTACACTATCTAGCAATTCTCTATTAATCTCTTTGTATCTCGACACATTTTAGGTTCCCACAGACAGTACAGTACAGACTTGTTCAATTCGACACGGGCACAACCACAAATACACGTGCCTTCTGCTGAATGCGTTATTTTGCAGACAAACAGTTCTGCTTTTTGTAAATCTACTTTCGATTTTGTCCAGAAGAAAAGCACGATTACTTAAATATCTAAGGTCAGCAGAAAGAACAGAACATGTATAGAGTAAATCATAGCATTAGTAAGCTGTTTTTTATTGCTTTCTTAAATAATAATAATAATGATAATAATAATAATAATAATAAGAAGAAGAAGAAGAAGAAGAAGAAGAAGAAGAAGAAGAACAAAAAGTTAGAATCAGTTTTAGTTATTAAGTGTGTTGGTGCTGAACAGTAAACTATGACAAGCGGAACGTTTTTAAAGAGGGATTTTCTTCCTTTTTTTAAAAAAAAATGTGTGTATATATATTTTTTTCTTCTAAAAAAGCAAGTGTTGCAAGTAAATGGCCAATAAGTGTAACAAGCCGACAAAAATGTTGGTTTTATGACAAAGAAGACTGTTTTGCACTATTACAAAGACTCGTTTGATCATTTCCCCTTTTTTTGTTCAGTAAACTATCAAGTCATTAATTAGTCTAATGAATTAACTGACTATGACTGTGACATGGTCATCATGACTGTCACAGTATGACACCAGTATGATTAGTTGTAGGCTTTTCCTTAGAGTGAGACATTGTCACATGCAACGAGGGCAGATAGTGTGTTTGTTCTCTGTAGTCACTTGATTTCTCCTCTGTGTATCAAGTCTGTTGCTGTTGCAGTGTCCATGTCGCCGCTGCGCTCCTCCCGTGCGCCACTAGGGGGAGTCACAGCGTCAGAAATCCGCCCCGCAAGATCGCTCCCATCAACGCCCCTGAGCCGCAGCGACACGGTGACCGATTGGCAACAAACCTAATCTGACAAATGACTGAAATGATCTCTGGAGCCGAGCGAACACCAAATTGGACTCCTCCGAAGCTCGCCCACCACTTTGTTTTGTCTCTCTCACAGCACAAACTCCAGCGTGCGTGCGCAAGCGTGCCATCCACTCTTCATGTTCCAAAGTTGCGGGGGAATGCGCTCGCGTTTGAAGAGCGAAGGAGCACAAACTTCTCAAGGCGCACAAGGTAGGATTGTGTACTTTACATAAATCATCTCCTGTCGTGATTAATTGGATGTGTCTAAGAATAGCCCGAACGTAGCTCAAACTGCGTCAACCCGGGCGTGTGTTTACTGTAGGCTATGTGTGTTAGACTCACGCACTCATCATGAGAACACGTTATGGCAGGGCACGAGATAATTACAGGCTGCTCAAACAGTTTGGGGACTGAGCAGAACAGAAGTCGCTGCCAACATACACACCTGCACAGCACTGCTTTGCCTGGGGCTTAAAAGACAGTCTTCATCACTGTCTGTCTGTCTTTCTGTCTGTGTCTGTCACCCAGCTCCCAGCCGCCCCCTCCCACACACACACACACACACACACACACACACACACACACACACACACCTGAGTTGAATGTGTGCCTTATGTGAGTGATGCCAGTGAAGGTGTTTATTCCATCCTGAACCTCTCAGTTTGCCTCAGATTAGCATTGATGAGGCTCAAAGAAAATGAGCAAAGAATGCAGAAAATGTTCCAGTAGTGGATAGTGTGGGATTAGCCTCATGATCAGCAGTTGTTTTTTTTCCCCATCCTTACATTTAAAAAAAATAAAAAACATGGCAAAAGTGCATCTGTATTTAAACTTAACATACTAAACATGTACAATGTATATATTTATACTCCAACCCCAGATGCCAAAAGGCTAAAGCACATGAAATCTTTGTTTTTTCACTTTCCCTGTGCAGTATTTAGTGCCCAGCTTTCTCACAAGGGCAGTTTTATGTGCAGGGAAGGAGGCATGGAAAAGAAGACCTTTCCTTTTGAGCTCACAGATTTGCAGTAATTACAGAATCACTTCCATATGTGGCTCTCTGGCTGCCTTCTCGCTGCCCCCACCACCCCTCTCTTCCCCACTGTTCTCTCTCTCTCTCCCTCTCCCCTCTTTCATTTGCATTCTCCCCTATCCCTCATTTTTTCTGCTTTTATTTTTTTGGCTTTCCTTTATGCACTCTGAGCATTTTTTTTTTGTAAAACCACAGCTTAAACAAAGTTTATGATAATCAGAACATCCTGGCATTTTTGGCAAATGGCTGTGCGTTTTGGTGATTCAGTTAGGCCACGCTTGCCAGAAGAAAAAAAAAAAAGAAGAAGAAGAAGTTTGTGTTTTTCACCGAGAGAGGAAAAACCGAAGAGAAATGGATGGAGGAGGGGAAATGTTGAAAAATATGGAAATATGAAAAAGAGGAAAGAAAAAGAATGGGAGCTCAGTGAAGAATTCGAGAGGCAGGAACAGAGCGTGAAGGAGGGAGAGGTGGAACAGAAAATGAGGCAGAGAGAGGGAGGGTTGGAGTAATGCTTTTTGACAGAGGTGGGTTCAAGATGGGTTCATGGTGACATCATGGCTGATTTTTGAGGAAAGTATAGACAGGAGAGCCGTTCACCTTTCATTGGACACACATGTTGGGGAATAGGCAGAGTGCTCTTGTGCTGGCACACACGCTGGCAGCTGCGTCGACAACCTCTGAATGCACCCTAAAATATGCGCAAAAAGCGCTCGCACACACTTTTTATTTTCTCTTTCTCCCCCTTCTCTTTTCCCCTCAGTTTCTTCGGCAGTAAAACAGCTTTTGGCTCCTTTCTCTCTCTGTTCCAGGCTTTGTGTTCATTTGTTTTTGTTAGAGGAGCACATAGTGGTATATGCCCTTTGGTCCTTAACACATACATTTCTCCTTTGCCATGAGTAACTCATTTTCCTGTGAATAGTATTCCTCTGTGTATGTTTTTACTTCAAGGCAGTTGGACTCTAAATGAGCACACTTTGCCAGGCGGGATGAATGAGGTCCTTCATTTCACAGGATGTGTGTATAAGTCTCTAACCAAGAAAGTGCAAGCAAGTGTACATTTGTGTGTGTGTGTTTCTGCACGTGTGTGTGTGTGTGTGCAAATGACTCTTGAGTGGGGTGTGCGTTCGCCCTGCGTCCCCTGCCTGTCTCAGTGCGGCACCAAACTTCATATGACATCAATCTGAATGTGGGGAAATAGTGATCTCATTATAGGCATCTTGTTACTGATTGAAACCTGCCGCCACAGGCACCAGCTCCCTGTACCCTTTCTCACCTCCCCACCACCAATCCCATCTACTCATCTACCCCCCCCACTACCACCACCCAATTCTCTCCATCTCCCCCTCCAGTTTTCTTTCCCTCCCTCTTTCTATTTCACACCTCTTTCTCTCACATTCCCTGTACCACCAGCCCTCCTTTGCCTTGCAGCCCCTCTTTCCTCCCCCCTCTCTCCATCTCCCTTTAACCCCTCTAACCTCACTTCCTCCCTCCCTTGCTCCCTCCATCATCCCCCCTTTCCTCTTCCCCTTTCTGCCTATGCTCCTTTTCCTCTGCCAGGGAGCCCCAGGCCTCGACTCCGTTGCTCTGTGAATGCAAATATGTCGAATCTAAAGTGGAAACACACGACTGAGTACCATGTTTCCATGAATATTTCATATCTTCATAAACACACCCAAAGAAGCTGCAAAGCTATGCGCTGAACAATGCCTGTGTTTGCCGGATGACTTCCTGTGAGGAATTGCCTCTCTGTGTTTGAGTTTTTGTGAGAGCACACTGTGTTAGGATTGATGTCAGGGCAGTGCGTTATGATGTCACACGCTGAAGTTAATGATACGAGAATGGCGGGGGCCATAGGCCATGTTTCCAGTGGTGCCCAGAGAGAGAGATAGCACCCTGATCTGTCTTCATTATCCCCCACTCTGCAGCCTCCCAGACACAATGATCATAAATCTCTGCCTGGAGCACACTTCACTGACACTGAAACACAAACACTAGTAACCTCTGACCTTCTCACTGCTACTGCCGACGCACACTCATCCATGCACTCAGACACAAGCACACACACACACACACACATATATCACAACTGCAAACATGCACGCTGCAAGAGCACATGCACACACAAAGCTCAAACACACCCCCTGCTCAAGCTCACTGTCATAATTTAATAAGGACCACAGCATGCCCTGTGCACTGACACACACACACGACTATCTTCATACACTTGACTGCACATACTGACACAAATGCATGGTCTCAGTCAGCCTGATGGCTTCACACTGACTTGAAATTCACACTTTACTGTTCTCATCACTCTTACTGCTAGAGTTAGTTTTCAACGCTTCCTATGGCTGTGTTTACCTTCTTGTTTTATATTACGCAACTGCTGATTTAGTACTGCTATGTAAACAGTTAAGGGATTTCTATTAGCCTTAGTGGCCTTATAAGCAACACATAAATCAAATGTAAACGAGATAAGGATCGGCTGAAGGGCTTTTTGCAGTATGGCTTAGAACTGTGCTTCCTGAATATAGGGTTTCTGCAAAAAGGCAACAGCGCCTCTCAATACTTATCCATTCATTTACCCTGATTATGTACTGGGAAATCCACATCAAAAATGTCAAAAGGAACTGTTCAATGGACTGTGGAACATATGTGGCTGTAAAGTTCGAAGGCACACACAAATAACGAGAGCAAGGCCGAGAGGGTTTTTTTTTCTTATTAAGATGGCTTGACTTTATCCTGGAGACATATTGGGGTCACTGCATTTGAGGATAAGATCTATCTCTGTATTAGGCCAGTTGCTGAGGTTTACAAACAAAATAGGCAGCCAGCCTTAAATGCACAGGTAGCTTGGAAGGCAAACAGAAAAAAATCCACATGCTGCATTGTCTGGCAATTCTGACTCAGACTGTGAGATCTGGGCGAATGTGAAGTGATGCATGGCCAAGAAGCCCGAAGGGCATCATTTCAGATGAAGTTTCAGAATAAGTAGTGCATATATAAGTTGGTTATTCTGAAGATTCTTGCCGCATTTGCTTGGTTAAGACGAGATGTTGCTTGTTTTAGTGGGTAAGAAGCATGCATGTATTTAGACTGAGTGTATGCACTGTATGTGTGTGTTTTTTGTTTTTTTTTTTCTGTTGAAAGCTTCGTTGATCTGAAGAGGTAAAAGTGCCTGCTGAGGTGCCAGTTGAGGTGTGCCTTCTCCTCCCAGTTTTGAGGTTTGAGGTGCTCCTCATAACCAAAACAACTTGAGAAACATTACATTCAGAAAAACAGGGCACACACCCAGAACCACAAACACATAAACACAGATCTGAAACATATGATCTCATATGGAGAGAGGGGCACGTTCAGGGGCACACCCAGATCTGTCGCTGCTGCTGCTGCTGCACAGCTCTGCCATCTCGCTTGGGACTTCCCTCCTGCTCATGTGCCACCGCTAGTTTCGATATAGAAACTGAAGTGATTTAGGTACGATATCTGCTTTTTTTTCTCTCTCTTTTTTTTAAGTCTGTCAAAAACAAATTCTCCACTGCATAATGCTTGGCAGTATGTTGACAGATGTTGTGTATCCCAAAAAATGTTAGCTGTCACATGCCAAATTCTGTTTTTCATTTCATCTTGTCCTCAGTAAATGCTAAATGTTTTGGATATTAAATCAATTTTGCTGTGTCAAGTACTTGCTTAAAGGGATGCTAAAGGGCCCTCATACTTGCCGTTTTTTATTATTAAGTGCCGCTAGTTGTAGTAGCATTAGCAATGGTAATATTAGTTGTGATTTATTACCACAGCTCTGGGAAGATTGTCACAGAAACATAAAACAAAGTGCCCAACACAAATATGAGTCACACAAAGAGAGCCCCCACAATATGTGCCTGTACTGAGCAGACAGGCGGGGCAAAAGTCCTTTATGATCCATCCATAAATTGATCACACCAGGGACAAATGACTCGGTGAAACAACCTAGAAGTTCTTGGAAGCATAAACCTATTGGCTTGCTGTTAAAACAGTGTCTGTGTTAAATCAAAACAATACAAAGTGGATGATCTGTGTTGTTCAGGATACTTAAAACATCCTCTCCTAATAAACTTGACCTACTTAACTTATTGATGAAACATGAATGATCTAAGATCACGACATCGCTCTACGTTTCAACATGCACAAACAGTTT